GCAAAAGAGAGAGGGAGACAAGACAATCCCAGGCAGGCTCTGTGCTGGCAGCACGGAGACCAACTCGAAACTCCATCTCATGAACTGTGACATCGTCACCTAAGCCGAAATCAAGAGTCAGACGCTTAACATACTGAGGCACCCAGGCTCCCCTAGAATTTTCTTTTTTTAATTTCGTATATATTATGGGTAATCTATACAATAAGAGGGCCTCCTAAATGATTCAGAAAAATGTGGAAATCCGCAAGCACGTTACCAGAGCACAAACTAGAATCACATTGTTTCAAATTGGGAAGAATACATTGGGCGGATCTCATGTTTTTGTTAACCAGAAATCAAAAGGCTCTTTTTTTTTTCTTCCTGTAAAAGAGAAACACCTTGCTTCAGGCTTTTTTCTAACATTTCTCTCATCTCCAGTGGTATCTTACGAACTCTTCTTACAACTGCACGTTGTCACATATAGTGAAGTATATATTCACGGCTGAAACATAAAACTCTTTATTTAACAATATGCCAGAATTCAGGGGATCCAAACTATATACAGTTTATTTATTTAAGAAATACAGTAAGGCACTGTAGAAGTGGGTAGAACATAAAATACAAGAGGAGACAATGTAGGGTACCAATGGCGTATATTAAGTGTTCAAAATGTTTGTTTAATGTAATAAATTTGCGGCGAGAGAAATGTAGGGAGCATAATTTCTATTTTTTTCTAATTTGAGAAGTTCTTTTCAGTTTGCTTCAGGTAACTATGATTTCCTCTGTTAATAGTAAATCCCGCTAGAAGACTTAGTTCAAATCAACTTTCAACTTCCTTTTGGCATTTTCTTTGGCATTTTCTTATTTTCTGAATACAAAGTAAGGTGGAGGAATACAAGCAGGAAGGAAGGAGAACATAATACTTCCACTTTAAATTATACATATATATACCAAGGTCTTACCTGTAAATAATACATGGCCTTTGGTTGCGCATAAAGCATCAAAAAACAAAAATCCAGTACTTGTTTGATGCGCCAACTAAAGATAAATAATAAAATCTGTTAATATTTGTCATTAGTACATAATTATTTATAAGCACACCAGTAATTAAACACAAACTTTGTTTAGCTCTTTGCTAACATGGAGTACTGTCTACAGTAAGTGAAATTGAGTGTTACACTGAAAAGTTACATCAACAAGGTTCCCATCTTCATTTAGTGGCCAATACCTGCCATTGCTAAACTAGAATAAGCATAATCTATTAATTTTACGTTTTGGTCAGTTAATTTTTGATCTGTACAAGAAAGTTAATATCCTTTCTCATCTTAGGTCTCGTTCAAATAAAAGTAAGAAGAAACTTGATTCTAATTTAACACTAAGCTAGATGCAAGGCCAGTTCCTTAAGATACAAAGAACAATACACAATGCACCTCTCGCCCTTCTGGGTTTCATAATCTTCTATGAAAATATGGAAAAATAATAAGATCAGAATGATTAGATAAGTGATATACAAAGACGTTGGCAATGATGATGTAACATAAGACAGGGCGGGTGGAGCAGGGAGCAGGGCATTCAGTGAGAGGACCAGTATCGCAAAGACAATGAAGCATGTGAGAGAGCCTGCCACCTCAGATCTACAGCACTAAGAATGGATGGAAAAGAAGCTGACGATGGTAAGGTGGGAAGAGACCAGATCATGAAGGAAACTTTGCACCTGATCTCCTATGATTCTTCTGTCTACACTATGGAGAATAAATTGGAAGACAGGCTAGGTGAGGCTTAGGGAAAGCAAATAGATCATTAATCGCCTGAAGCAGAGGAATGGTCCAGAGCAGAGGAATGGTCCAGAGGAGAGGAATGGGAAGGAGAGGGATGATGCAGAGAAAGATTTTTTTTTAAATAAATGTTTATTCATTTTTGAAAGACAGAGTGTGAGCAGGAGAGGGGCAGAGAGAGAGGGAAACAATATCTAAAGCAGGCTCCACGCTGACAACAGCGAGACAAATGCAGGGCTCGAACTCACCAACTGTGAGACCTTCATGACCTTAGCTGAAGTCAGGACACTCAACTGACTGAGCCACCCAGGCGCTCCAAGAGAGATTTTTTTTTTAAAGAAGAAATGACAGAGACATAAAGGGCAGAAGGAAAAACAGGATCTAGAATGCCTCCCAGCTTTATGACTCTAAAAACTGACTACTTAATTAAAACAAAATCCTTAAGAGATTTCCAGATTCTGACATACCATTTATTATTATAAAACAAAACAGAGCTAAATGAGTTTCCTGGGATAAGATGTTTTTTCTGAATTCTGGCATTTCTTTTACTCTATTAAGTTTTGAGGCACCGAATTACTACATTTCTTATAATACCTTCCACATTTATAATCAAACAGTAGTGTTCCTTTGTACACATACAAACCTTCAATTGTTCAAAATTCGTTCATAAATACTATCATATTTTATTCTCACCATGATTTTTCCAAATATACAACGTAGATTTTATTATACACACCAGAAAGTGGAAGAAGCTAAGAAAACAAAGGCTAAATTGCCAGAATGACCAACAAACAGAAAAGCTGGAATTAGAAGGCACGTGTAATAATTTATAACCTCAGGCTTTTTTCCCCCATCATTATGCCCTTGCTAATTATCAGCTGAACATGTGAACACTGATAATCCAGTGCTGGTGGTAAATGTTTTCTGGGGAGTGGGGTGGGGATGAACCACGATTTGTAGCTTCTGCCCATTTCCATAGTGTAATTGCTCCTACCATCGCTGATTTCATGCTACCAACCTGACGTCGCTGGACGCAGACTGGGAAGGGACGCACATAGTCATTCTTGTAAGAACTGACTGTGAAATGGGATCTATTAGATGCTGGTTCCAACAGTACATCCGATGAAGTTTGTTATTTGAGAATACTGTCTTCTAATACATCACACCTAATTTTTTTTAATGTTTACTTATTTTTGAGAGAAAGACCAAGTGTGAATGGAGGAGGGACAGAGAGAGAGAGGGAGACACAGAATCCGAAGCAGGCTCCAGGCTCTGAGCTGTCAGCACAGAGCCCAACGCAGGGCTTGATCTCACAGACTGTTAGATCATGACCTGAGCTGAAGTCAGACACTTAACCGACTGAGCCACCCGGGTGCCCTGATACCTCTCTAATTTTCCTGAGTCCTCAGTTGACTGCTTGACATGTAACATGTTTGGATAAAAAAAGGCAGGTATTGAAATGACTTCCAAGGATCCAGACTTCAGCTGCCTTTTGAATCTGTAAACAGAAGTGGAAGTTTGTAATTGAATATTTGATTTACCAAGTGAACAAATACTTAAAAAGAATGTCTTCATGCACGTCCATGTAATATTTTTATTCCAATTATTTCACAGGTTGATACATGATATCCACATTATGAAACTAATACTTTTTAGCTAAAGTATTTCTTTTATAAATTAGTGCACAATATAACAAAAAGTTAAAATATATAATATAAAATTAATTTATTTTCATAAAAATTATAGGCACTTTAAATTTTTGCAAGTTTACAACCATATATATACCCTAAAAGATTCAAAACAATGAAACTAGTGAGTTAGCCTAGAACATTAGGTGATTTTAAAAAATGCATAGTTTTGGGGCACCTGGGTGGCTCATTCAGTAAAGCGTTTGACTCTTAGTTTGGGCTCAGGTCACGATCTCACAGTTTGTGAGTTTGAGCCCTGCGTCAGGCTCTGAGTTCACAGCACACGGCCTGCTTAGGATTCTTTCTCTCCATCTTTCTCTGTCCCTTCCCCCATCTCTTCTATCTCTCTCTCTCTCTTTCAGTAAATAAATAAGCTTAAAAAATAAAAAAATGCATACTTTTGAGCTTAATAAGATTCCTACTGGATAACAGCACTATGGCTCCCGAAACTATAGATTGATCACAGCAAGCAAGGATTAAGGGTGACTCTTGTCCACACTCATTGGATGACTATGTATGCTTTTCATAATCTTTATTTTGTTGAGTGGAGGGATGGGATAAATGGATGATGGGTTTTGGGGAAGGCCCTTGTTGGGATGAGCACTGAGTGTTAAAAGTTAAGCGCCGAATCATTAAATTCTACTCCTGAAACTATCATCACACCATATGTTAACTAACATACAATGTATGCTGGATTTAAATAAAATAAAAATATATATTAAAATTGAAGAAAATTGAAAATTAAAAAAAATTCTAAGTTAATATTTATAGACCATCATTAAAATGCACAACACACGGCTCACAAAAGCTGTTATACAAATCTTCCACCATCGAGGTAAAGGATGGGACACCAGGTAGAACATTTTGAATGATTTTCCTTTAGAGAGAATATGACTTTAAGTGGGATTTATGTTTAGGCATTACATTATTTATTAAAATGTTAAAGTCTCAAGAAAATGTTTGTTTTTTACTAATAGGTGAAAAAGCAGGGCAGAGTTTTACATGCACAATCTCAATTATGTGCAAAATAGGCAGTTCTCACTTTGCACAATTCCAATACGAATGAATCTCAGTTACCATGTATTAGATAACACGTCTCCCTCAACAACACTGTTGGAATTTGAGTCATCATGCTATATTCACCGCGAATAATTCCATAAAGTACAAACTTGCTTCGGGCTCTTCAGCCCACATACCGTTACACAAATAACAAATGCACATCATCATCTCACCCCTTCTTCCAAAGTCTGTTGGTGCCTGATCACAGTGCTTGTGTCGCCTTCTTGTGACATTAGAATGCAGACAATTTTATTCCTTTTGTTTGCTTTTAAAATGGTTTCCAAATTTTTGAAATTGGTGTGTATCATGAGCATGGGGTGGCAGCATGTGCTACCGAGAATGTGGGGTTTGAACCCAGAAAAGGGTCTCTGCTAATTTTGCTTCCATCACTTACAAACTTTAACCAGCCATTTACTTGCTCTAACCTTCAGTTTCCTCATCTGTAAACCTAGCATAGCGATACACTCCCTTCCAGGGAAAGAACTGTTCTACAGGTAACTCGATTCTAACGAGGCTCTATGCATCAGTGGAAGAGTTTCTGGTTATTTGTTTGTTTGTTGACTTATTATTTATTTACGTGGGAGTGTAAATGGGGAAGTGCAGGAGATGAAAGTCTTCCTGAATCCTCTGATTTTATGGTGTATCAACTGGAAAGATTTTTAAACACTAATTTTAGTATGTTCCTTGGAGAGTAGAAAATGCTGGATCAAAGAAAAGAATGAGGAATGCTGCTTGCTTTGGGGTAAAAATTAGTAACACAATACCTACATTTTAAAAAAGTAAAATTGCGTAACTTTGTACAACAATTTAGAATAGCAGAGGTACGTGAAAATAACATTAAGTTGCAGCATATACAGTCATCAAAAAATAGGATTGCAGAAGCTTATAAATTTTGTCCTCTAGAAAATTTCACGCAAAGTCTCAAAACAACAAAGGCCCAGTTACAAATAATTTCTATCTTGACGGTATAATTTCCCATTACTGATAAAGAGAAAGATTCCAGGCTCATTTTTTTTTCAGTCTGTCTTAAGCAAGACCCTTGAATCTTGTGTGGTGACATCTTTCTAGGATTCTTTAAACCTTTTCTAGCTTATTAGGTTACGGATAGCATCAAAAGTCCTGGAGATAATGATACCAGAATTGCGAATTGCCAATGACTAGAGAAAATAGTATAATTGTATGTTGTTGCCATTATAAATGAATAATTTTACCTTACAGTCATAAAAGTATGGAAACCATACAGCTTTACATTTTTATATAAAGCACATAGCTACATACAGTTTCATATAAGGTTTTATATAACCTTAGTTGGGTCCTTTAACAATTACTATATAGTCTCAAATTTAGGGTCAATAACATATAGAGCAATCTCTCATTAACCCCCATAAGAAGACCTAGAAAGAGGGTTTTGAGCTAAATTAAATACAGAAAAATGTAGGCATATAAATGAGAAGTTATGAGTCTACATTAAAATTTTAAATTATAGTTTTATTCTAGTCTCACAAAAAATAAAATTGCATCCCAACCCTTTATGCTGTATTGTTAACATTAATATCCTTATCATCATGCGAAACTTTTTGAATCATCTAATACAGTTCTCTGATACACATGATCTTCAAGCCTAGCTTAAATACCAGTGACATTGTCTTTGTACATTTTATAGCAAAACGTAAGTATCCCTATACATCAAGTAATATTTTTGTGATCTCCACAAGTAACCATATACTAGAATTCTTTTTTAAAGTCATCTTCAAAAGTTTTGCAATTATGCAAAGACATCCGCAGGAATTGTTTATAAACCTCTACCTTCTTTGTAACGGATCCTATTAAGACTCCCTTATAAGGACCAACCTAGTATAGACTGAAGTCATTTCAGGCTAATGTGTATTCTCCAAATAGTGGATTATTATGCAGAGTAAAGCAACCAAGAGAGCATATCCTGGATTAGGAGAACATTTCAAGTATGAGGCAACTTTTCTCCTGGGCAATCTTTTTTGGGAAAAAACAGACATATATGGGTGTTTTCATTAATCTGGCCCAGCTCTATCTTCCTCCACACACAACATCTACTTCGAGGCTTCACTACCATTCTCCAGTTCAAGCTCACTGCCAATAAATCCCTCATTCTCAACATACTATTTTTCTTTCACAGGGAATAGCCTTTAAGGATGGAATTCTTTAGTTTCACCCTCCTTTCTCAAACTAATTATTTTTTTCTGCTCCTTCACCTATTCTTATTGTTTTCCCCCTTATCGTAGCTTAGTCCTGCCTAAAACTCCTTCCACATGTGCCTGGTATCCACTGCCCCTAGACCTTGTCCATCAGCTTCCTCCCATGGATGAGATCACATATAAAACCACTCCTGGAGTCCCCATCTCCAGACCTCCCCTAACACAAGTTTTCCCTCAGGCTGCTGTGTTTAACTTTACTCCCCATCCATCGAGCTTGTTGAAAACAGTCTAATTCAATTCTTTAAACTTTTATTATGAAAATTACCACACACACACACAAAAGTGGGAATACAACGAATCCCAAATCATCTGATTTCAACAACCATTTTTTTTTTTACCACACTTGTTTCATCTATACAGCCCACTTTTTGTTGTTGAAGTTTTTTATTTTTTTTTTTTAATTTTTTTTCAACGTTTTTATTTATTTATGGGACAGACAGAGACAGAGCATGAACGGGGGAGGGGCAGAGAGAGAGGGAGACACAGAATCGGAAACAGGCTCCAGGCTCTGAGCCATCAGCCCAGAGCCTGACGCGGGGCTCGAACTCGCGGACCGCGAGATCGTGACCTGGCTGAAGTTGGACGCTTAACCGACTGCGCCACCCAGGCGCCCCTGTTGTTGAAGTTTTTTAAAACAAATCCTGGATATAATTTCTTACCCTTAAATTCTTCAGTGTCAAAATCAAAAAAGGGCATTTATTCATATAACTGCATGCCATTATCACACCTTACAAGACTAAGAATAGTTATGTAATATCACATAATATTCAGCTGATAACTCACATGTCCCCAGTAGTCTGACGAGTATTCAGTGGGGGAGGTGGAGTGTTCAAATAAACATCCACATAAGATCCCCTGGTTGTAATCTGTTACCTCTTACTTCTTTTCTAAATTTACTACCCAGACCGATCATTTCAGTTTCTCTTTCTTCTTGTTCTCAAACAAGTCTTGTTGAAAGAACGGGGTCACCTGTCTTACAGAATGTCCTCCGTCCTCATTCTGGTGGCTACTCCAGACTGCTTCCTCTGTTCACTGTGTAGACGCCAAACTTGGATTTAAAGTAGATGTTGTATTTTGTGTTTGTGTTGTGTTATACTTTGGAGAGTGGCGGGCAATAATTCCCTAGAGTTGTTTCATGGTGTATTTCATTTACATCACAACAGAAGGCACAAAATGTCTCGCTGTCTCACTTCCAGGGGTGCTGTGACTGATCACAGGTTCAGGTGGGGGCACTTGACCCCCTCCTGCGGATTGCCCATGTGCCCTCAGCCCCCATTCTCACACTTCTGTTCTCCCAGGTATTATAGGGGGAGGGTTCCTGCACGCCACAATCCCAGGCCCCCTTGCTAGACACCTTCCACATAGGTTCTGCCCATGGTAGGCAGTATCAAGAGACTGGAAGGCAGTCAACAAGGAAGATATCCTTCCTACTTTCAGGATCTGGTGAAGGCCACAGCAGCAGCAGGATAGAGTAGCAGGAAGCAACGGAGAACTGGAGATCCCAGCCGAGCAAGGCGGCACAGCTCAAACCTGCGATCATGGCTCTTTCAACGACACAGCAGCAGATGCAGCCCAACATCAGATCCTGCGGTATATATACTCCTGTCTCCGTTCATGCTTCTCCCATTTCCTTTCTTCTCTCTTTGGTTCTCTCAGCCCCTGTAAACACTTTTTGACCAATTCTTTGTATCAAATTCTATCTGAATTACCAAAGGTTTTCCTGTTTGGATGCTGGCTAGTACACCTTCCTTGTAAAGCTCCCCATCACTTAATGACATGCCTGACTCAGTTGTTTTCAAAATGGTGATTTTCTAATTCTATTCATTCTACACTTCTTAGCTGGAATTCTTTTGACTAAAATAACTTTGCCTCATCCCCTTGAGCTATTTGGTGAGGAAACAAACAAACAAAAAACCACAGAACACTTTGCTGTCTAAGCCAAACACGTCTAGTAGCCAGATTCAGCTGGAAGGCCATGTTTTGCAACTCTGGGCTGTGGAATCAAGTGCATATTCCTTAGCATGGTATCCAAGACTCCTCATGATCTTATTACAGCCAGCCTTAACTCCCACTGATACTTCTTCCTCAAGCCCAAATATCCACACCTCAGGATATACTTATATTTCCAAAACTCTAGCATACTCCTGTTTGGCCTTGCTGCCTTCTCAAGCAATTCTCTTTGCCAGGCATTCCCTTTCTCTTTGGATCTACCTGAAGAAGATCTGCTCACACCTTTAGACTCAGCCCGTTACTTACTTCTCAGGAAGGACCTTCTTGGTATCTTGCAGGCAGAATAAAATACTTCCTCCTCTACATGTTCTCATATTGCTCTCCCCATACCAATGCGAAACACCAGCTTCCTTGTTGTGATTTGTTTTTTACCAGTTGTATCACCCACGTGAACATAAACATCTAACAGGCTGGGACCAATTCCATAGGGTCTTGCTGGATGAATCACCTCATGTACATTCGTCAGCATGTGCTTGCTCCTCCTGGGCTGCGTCCAGTAGGAGATCATAAGCAGAGGCGGAGAGTGTAACTTCATACGGTAAGGAACACAAGATCGCTTAAAAAATAATCTAGTAGGCTTCTCTCAGAAGAAGTGGATTTCAGGGAGAATAGATATAACAATCATAACATGAAAAAGATGGATTTTATGAGGCAGATAACCTACAAAATTGGGGAAAGTTGTAAGCTATACTTCATCACAGCTTAGAACTACCCTTAGTTCTAAGTAGTTCCATCTACACAGCTACACTCATCAAGAAGAATATGATCACTAATAAAATAATTGGGCAGAAAAAATAAAAGAAAAAAATGAAAGAACAGCTATTTTTAAGCTTATCAGACAGTACTCACCTTTTTGTAATCATGTCCACAACAGATTTTAAATAATCTTCATTTCTCTAAAAATGAGAAAAATATTTTACTGAAATTAAGCATGCCTCATAGTTTTACTGATACGTTTGCTACATGTAAATCTAGTTTATGTGTGGAATGTCACTGTGTCCTAAGAATTTTTTTATTTTTTCACTTTCTATAAAAGAATTTAAAATATCCTTGTGTCTAAAAGACCTGACTGGAATACTTAAAATATTTCATTCTTCCTTTGTCACAATACAAAATATCACTATACATTATTTGCACTTAAAAATTTGTATGCAAAAACCTATGTATCTAAAACAGTTTTGTCCTAAAAATGGGATGGCTTATTTCTAAGAACTGCTCTTTTTAAAAAAAAAATTTTTAGAGGCACATCGGGTGGCTCAGTCGGTTAAGCATCCAACTTCAGTTCAGGTCATGATCTTGTGGTTCGTGAGTTTGAGCCCCATGTCGGGTTCTGTGCTGACAGCTCAGAGCCTGGAGCCTGCTTCACATTCTGTGTCTCCTTCTCTCTCTGGGTCTCCCCCCACCTGAAATTTAAACATTAAAAAGAAGTTTAAAAAAAATTTTTAAGTTTATTTATTTTGAGAGAGAGAGAGAGAGAACACACACGCATGTGTGAGCAACGGTAGAGAAAGGAGAGAGAGATTCCCAAGCAAACTCTGTGCTGTCAGAGCCCGATGTGGGGCTCATTCTAAAGAACCCATGAGATCATGACCTGAGCTGAGATCAAGAATTGGACGCTTAACCAAGTGAGCCACCCAGGTGCCCCTAAGAACTGCTCTTTTTGAAGATGTCTTCATTTTGTGAGTATTATATGGTACTAAATGTACCTCAATATTATACCACAGTTTTCCAGACAGTATTACTCAGCCTAATTCCCAAATTTTTGCCCATTAACAAACCTTATTTGCCTACTCTTCATCAAATGCTGCGCTAGATTAGATGGCAGACTCATTTGTAAATATCTTTTGGTAGTTTATTCTCAGATGGCATTTTTTTTTTTTTTTTTTTTTTTTTTTTTTTTTTTTTTTTTTTTTTTTTTTTTTTTTTTTTTTTTTACAAAAGTGATGGCATTTAAATGATATTGCTTCAGGGCCACAAGCACTCTCAAAACAAAATTCTGAAAAATGTCTGAATGATGACAATTGTATTGTCAAATCTGAGTACCCTGAAATGTATATAGTCAGATTGTTTACTTAAAAATATCTGTCATAAGGAACACCTGGGTGGCTCAGTCAGTTGAGCATGACTCTTGATTTCCATCCAGGTCATGAACTCGGGATGCCTGAGATCAAGCCCTGCTGGGCATGACGCCTGCTTCGGATTCTCTTTCTCCCTCTCTTTCTGCCCTTCCCCGCGCGCACTCTTCCTCTCCCTCTCTCTCTCAAAATACATAAACATTAAAAAATATATATCTGTCATGATACAGATAACTCTATGACAGTACTTAAGGTTCTTAAGATAACCATACACTGAATCACCAGCTATTTGTTACATACTGAAACATATTACTTATTTTTTTTAAGTAGGCTCCATGCCCAGCGTGGAGCCCAACAAGGGGCTTGAACCCATGACCCCGAGATCAAGACCTGAACTGAGATCAAAAGTTAGATGCTAAACTGACTGAGCCACCCAGGTTCCCTGAAACATATTACTTTTTAAACATAGTACTAAAGTTACACTTCTTAAACATTCTACATTCCATTTTAAAATCTGTCCCTAATATTTTATCATTGGTCTAAACATTTTATAAAAGCATATGTGCATGTGTCAGCAGCAAAGAAATGAAGATTGTAATATATAATATACAGAAATGTGGCAAAACATTTTGGAGATTATGTATATTCTTCCAATATTAAGAAACTAAACTTGGACAGAATGACTATTTAATCTTTTACTTATATTTTCCTATTAGTTCTTCTATTGCTTATTTTGAGTTTTTTTCTGCATTCAAAGACATGTTTATTATAGAAAATTCAAAAGAAAGGACAAAGGATCCCTACATCTCCTACTATCCAGAGATAAACATTATTTATATTTTGGAGACCATTATTCCAAGGTTTGCTCATTTTTTTTTCTTTATACATTTCATCTATCTGTATATCTTTTTTTACTTCTTTCCTTCCTTCTATCGCATTTTACATAGATAACATTATGTTAAATGAGATGCTTAACAACTTTTTTCCCACTCAACAGTATGATAGGGACATAATTTCATGTCAGCGCATATAGATATTCATTCTCTTTTCAATGGTTACAATTGCACTGCAGATTATCACAATGTAGACAAGTATTTAGCCAGCCTCTTATTGATAGACATTTTTGGTGGTTTCCAATATTATGTTTTTAAAAAGCAATTGTGCACTGAAAATCCTTGAAACAATTACTTATTGAACACTTACTATGTGTCATGCATCATTCCAAATACTTTAAATACAGTAGCTAATTTAATTGACAAAACAACACTATGACATAGGTAATATTATGATGCCTGTTTTCAGAGAAAGAAAGTGAAGCATAGAGAAGTGAAGGAACTTGTTCAAGTTCACAAGCCAGGAAGCAGAGAAATCTAGATCGAGTCTGTGTTCTCAACGACTATAGATACTGTCACATACTGTCATATTTTTATTATTTTGGAATTCTTCCTAATTATCTCCTTAGGATAACTTCCCAGAATTGAGATTTCTGAGACAAAGGATACAGACATTTTAAATCTAACACAAACTCCCAAACTCCCCTCCAAAAGGTTTTATGGTATTAATATTTACGCAGTGCTTTATAGTTTTACATGGCATTAGAGGCAAGATAGAGAATCTATTAGACATAGACTTGAATCTGCTGTATTAATTACTGGGCAAGTTACTTACTTTCTATAAAGCCCTGGATTTTTCACCTGTAAAATCAGGAGAGCTATACCTATTTTACAAGGATGTAATGCAGGCTACAAATAAGGTATATAAAAATGGTCCACAATCCTTGAGATACAGAAAGGAGTGCTTCAATATTCATGGTAGTTATTGTTACTTAATTTAACAGAAATTACCTCTTGATTCATATGCCAACCTTTTATTGGGCTGGGCAGGGTTTTTGTTTTTGTTTTTGTTTTCTACTGTAGCTTCAATTTTGATGTTCTGTTTATAAATATAATTTCTGTACCATATAGTACACAGGGATCCTAGTAACATATTTAACAATGCAATCTTATTTCTCTGCATGTAACCATTATCTTTTCTTTTTAGGTTGACATATTTAATTCTTTCTCAGTAGTGCCAAACAAGTTTCAAATACATTGTCTGCTATCCAAAACTGGCATCTATGAATTGCTTTTTTAAATTTGAGAAAAACATCTGAAACTATACAGTGATTACCGTGGAGGAAGGGTATTTGGAGAGCTACTTATTTTTCATACGTACATCTGCCACCGAGACAATCACCACAGAGTCCTTCTCTTCTGAGAGAGTCATCCTGGAGACAACAGAATTCAGGGTTTGCTTCAGGTAACTTTGATTTCCTCTGCTAACAGTGGAAATACCCAGCGCAAAAGAGACTGCAGACATAGGTGCATGGAATCATCATTTTGAACCACAGAGAAAAAACATAATTTATCATTAATGTCTATGCTTATCACTATGCTTGGGTTAGTTGTATGGTCAAAAAAGAGTGTCTGAAACTGTATTTCAAAAATAATCCAAACTACTATTAATTTTTATTACAAAGTTCATTTTGTGCTTAAGCAAATTCCAATTTGCAATGGATTCTTAGTAAATGCATTAAGTAGTCTCCAAGATTTTCTCATGTTGGAGGGTTTCAGTGTAGTGAAAAATAAAAGTAACCACTCTCTGTTTATTATAGCTTTTACCTAACTGGATACAAAATGTGACACACTGGCCGATTGTCTACTCTTCCTAAGAACACACTGGAACCCAAAATAGGAAAAATACTATGAAATATTTTCATCTGTGGAAAAAAAAAATGTACGAAGTAATTTCCAAGTGACTTGATGGAATGAATCCATGCCCCTGAGTTACTTTTATTGCCCAATATTGACTGGAACACTGGTGGAACAGACCTCATGCCATCCTAAATAGCTACCAAGATTGTTATCACTGAAGTCTGCGCAAACTCAACACCAGTGCCTGGCTGTATGAACTTGGGCAAGATACACAGCCTCTCCAGCCTCAGTTTCCCCTCCGTTAAGACAGGGATAAGGACTTCTAGAATGGCTAAGTGAGGAACTTAGCAATAATAGAACTTGGCAATAATAGAACCAGGGGGAAAACATGTTGAAACAATCAGGGCTCTGGTATACAACAAACTGAGAAGCATTTATGTAACAAAAAATTATTGAACTTTGGTGAGAACAGTAAGAATCAGTATTTCCCTGACTACTATTGAGTTGAACATATTTTCATATGTTTATAGGTCTTTGGATATTCTTTTGTAAAATCTCTGTTTAAGCTCTTACCTGTTTCCCTATTAGAGTTGTCTGGATTTCTCTTATCTATTGATGCACTTTATAGATTCTGAATATAAATGCTCTGTCAGTTATGCATATTACAAATATCAATTCCTATTCTGGGTTCCCTTTTCAACTTTTTACCTCTTGATGAACAGAAATTTTTAATTTTAATATAATTTATCCGCCTATTATTTTATAGTTAGTGTTTTGATTCCTGTTGAGAAATCTTCATTTATCTTCCAGTCATAACAGATATTCTCCTAAATAACTGTTTGCCTTTTATATATAGGCTTACAGCGCATCTGGAATTGATTTTTATGGGTGGTGTGAGGCAGGAATCAAGTTTCAAATTTGGGATCCACTCTAAAATGCAATTGCTGAAAGGGCGTCTGGGTGGCTCAGTCTGTTGGGCATCCGACTTTGGCTCAGGTCATGATGTTGTGGTTCGTGAGTCTGAGCCCCACACCGGGCTCTGTGCTGACAGCTCAGAGCCTGGAGCCTGCTTCGGATTCTGTGTCTCCCTCTCTCTCTGCCCCTTGCCCATCTCTCTCTTGCTCTCTCTCTCTCTCTCTCTCAAAAATAAATAAACATAACAAAAAAATTAAAAAATAAAATGCAATTGCTGGAATGACTTCCAGTGCCTTAGGATAAGGAATACGCTTACAAACATTTCCAAGGCCTTTAGTGACCTGGTCCCAACCTACGTCTTCTATTTCAACTGTCTACAAATCATCTTTCAGCTTCATAAACTGACCAAACAGGACTCTCTCACCTCCAAATCGTTGCACATACACCATTCCTTCTCTGCCTAGAACATTCTTCTTCAGGCTCCTTGTGCCAATTCTACTCATTCTTTCTAAATGAGGCTGAGTATACCAGCTATATATTTGTCTTACATAGTACTTATCATCCTTTTTGTTACTAGAATACATCATAACAGCAATATATTTGGAGTGAATAAGTGAATGGCCAAGCCCCTTTATTATTTGGCCTCTGCTTCATGTCTCACTGCCCCAAACTTCCAGCTCCAATTGGGCACATATGCCACACTTTTTCTCTAGGCCCTCTTGCTGTTACTGTTAGACCTCTCCTTTCCTTTTCTTCTACCTGGATGAACATCCTCTACTTCTCCACTGTCCATCACGTGCTTTTTCCCCATTCAGCCTATTCCAATTCTTTCTACCCTTCATGTCTCAGTTTAGATGCCACTTCATCCAGAAAGTCTGCCCTAATTCCCCAAGTATGGATTACCTGCCCCGCCTTGTATTTCCCTTGTCATAGTACTGGTCACTTTATACTGTAATTGTTTTCTCACACGTCTCTAGGAGGATGAGGGTCATGTCTTGCCCACCACTATTTCCCAGGGCTTAGTAGAGACCTGGTAGAGGCCGGTCCCTTGAGGATGTGGAGGACTGCACAAAGAAGTTGTTAGCTAAGCTGAAAAGTCATATTGGATAAAGACTTCCATGACAAGTGAGTTGTGGTTGACAGGAGGTGGTATGTTCATTACAGGCAGTGATTAGAATGTGCTAATCACTTGGCCTATCTGTGGGGACTATAAGTGGTTTGGGATTGCTGGAAAGGAAGGGAAGTGGCAAAATTTGAGATTTGAAAGATATGGTCTATTGTGCATATACCATGTCAAGGAGCTAACATCCTAAATATACTGACGATCCAGCAAAGGACTTTAAGCAAGAGTTGAGCATGATATACATTTTAGTACATAGCTCTGAGGAGGATATGAAGAATGGATTGACTTTAGTAACACTAAAACCATGAGAAAAATTACAAGTCTATTACACTGGGCAAGAAATGAAAGCTCAAGGAGAATAGTTATAGAGGGTAGAGAGCAGAAATTATTTGGGATATACTCAGAATACAGAATAAATAAGCCTGATGACAGATTCCCCAGTAGACCTGGCTATAGTCTTCAGTGCTTTTACAAATGTCTTATGTGTTAGGGTCTATTAGTTACTGGGCTTCTGCTTATCTTTGCTGATGTTTATTCAAGGGTGTGCTTATTCTTGGTATCCAATATTTTATATGTAATGGGTTTCTATGTAATGGATTTTTGTTCTATGACTTTCACCTCATCCTCCTGTTACCTATAGCTTTTGTGTAGCACACACTTTCTCATATGTACACACAGATACACATGCATGTATATGTACACATTTACATGCCACACTCAAAATACTCCTAAGAGGGAACCTGACACTCAAGTGTGACCTCAGGAAATACCTTAATATCTCTAAACCTCAACTTTCTTAGGCGTAAAAGAGAGATAATCGTATTGGGTTGTGAGGATCAAATGAGATAATGAAAGAAAACATACTCAGTATATGGAACACTGTGAGAATTCAGATGTTAAACACCGCCATCTGGCATCCCCATCCCAACACAACAGGCTTGGCAGAGGCATGTGATATCAAACAATCCTACATATTCCCAAGGAACTACCTAGATCAAACAGAGATCAGTGAGCTTTTTCTGTAAAGGACCAGATAGTAAACATTTTTGTCTCTCAGGCCATACTGTCACTGTCGCAACTCTGCCACTGTGGTGGGAGAACAACCATAGACAAGTAACAATGAACATGACCAGGTCCACCAAAACCTTATTTTAAAATAGCAGATTTGGCCCAAGGGCTGTAATTTCCTGCCGCTGGCCTAGAGTGACTCACTCATTAGAATGATTGAGGTTTGTGAGAATGGCAAGCACTCAGACTCGCCCTAACATCCCTGCTTCCAACTTAAATGCTTTTTCTCTTCTTTAATACCTGCTGAGGTTAAATTCATTATTTCAGTCTTAGCTCAAACATCACCTCTTCTGTAAAGACTTTGCTGACCTTGGTCCCCAGAAAGATGGGGAATAGGAAGACAACTGAATAAGAATGCACTTATCAAAACCAAGGGAGATAAGGGTTGCCAGATGCTTCATATAAGTCACATCTGCATGTGACTTATAATGACTTGTTTTTAAAACATCTGTATTAAAATTGAATTTGAATTCAAGTTTCTAAATATCTACTGAACTAGTTTCTTCTTCCAGATAATGTACTGATTTCTGGCAGTCCAAATTAATGCCACATAGGCTGGTGGTCTATGTACCAGAGTATTATATCAATGGATTACATTTTAAAACATAAAAGCATGCATAATAATAGAGAAGTGTTCAAAAAAACTTAAAAGCTTGTCCCCCAAGATCAAAATATCTATATTTGATTTTCTAAATCTAAGTTTGCTTACCACCTGTTTTCTCTTTGCCAATGATTACATCAGGATAAATTCTGCCCACTTTCCTTAGATGAGGGAAAAAGAACTTTAGGACTTCAAATGTATTATTAGACACTGTGTCATCCTTACCCAATGTATTCATTTTCTTCTCAACTGAAAAAGAGAAAAAAATAGGGTTTCTAAGTTCATGACTATAGAGATTTTTCTCTCTTTGGTACAATTTTCATAATGTAATTATCAGATTAATTCAGTATTCAATATATAAGAGAAATAATATTAAATGTGAATTAATAAAATCATTTGGCTATAATTTATAGCTCAAATGTTATTTATTCCTCTTTCTTTAAACTTGTAAGAACAGATAATATATGTGATCTTAGCCAAAAGGCCTAGAAGTGATGATTCATATTTATTTAAAAAGTAATATTCAAGTCTAGCACCCTGAGCTACATAACCAGAGACTAACAGAACTGTCAGTTCCAAATGAAGTATAACAGAAACATGCTATAATTGATCTGATCTGCTATTCAGTAATATCGCATTAAAGTTTGTATCTATAACTTTGTTTTGTAGCTCAACATTTAATTACTCTACTTGTACCATTCATTTGAATATACCTCTACAAATTTGAAATAGAAGAACAAAATTAAAAGACTCACATTATCTAATTTAATTCATAATACATAATACAGTAATCAAGACAGCATAATATTGGGGTGGCTGGGTGGCTCAGTCAGTGAAGCATCCGACTCTTGATTTAGGTTCAGGTCACGATCTCACGGTTTGTGGGATCGAGCCCCATATCAGGTTCTGCACTGACAATGTGGAGCCTGCTTAGGATTCTCTCTGCCTCTCTCTCTGCCCCTCCTCTGGTCTCTCTCTCTCTCTCTCAAAATAAGTAAATAAGACAAAAAAAAAAAAAAAAAAAAAAAAGACAGCATGGTATTACATTAAAAAGAGATACACAGACCAATGGAATAGAATAGAGAATCCAGAAATATACCCATATAAATATTGTCAGTTGATTAAAAAAAAAGTACAAACGTAATTCAATGCAGAAAGGACAATCTTTTTGACAAACGGTGCTAGAATACTTGGACACTCACATGAAAAAGACTGAATCCTGACCTATACTTCATACCATTTATAAAAACCAACTCAAAGACTTCATAGACCTAAATGTAAAGCCAAGACTATAAAATTAAAAACAAACATATAAAAGAAAATCTTCATGACCATGATGTAGGTAGAGTTCTTAAAGATAACACCAAAAACACAATAAAAAAGAAGAAAAATTGACAAATTAGACTTCATCACAATTAAAAATGTTTGCTTTCTGAAGGACATCACAAGGAGAAGGAAAAGACTAGCTACAGATTGGGAGAAAACATTTCCAAATCACATATCCATCCGATATGTATTCAGGATATATATATATATATATATATATATATATATATATATATATATATATATATATATATATATGCTAAAGAAAATTCTCGTCAAACAAAAAAACCTATATATGAATGTTTATGTACTTGTAATTGCCAAAAAATGAAAACCCAAATGTCCTTCAATTGGCAAAAGGATAAACAAACTGTATCCAATCTACAACCATATAATGAAATGCTACTCAGCAATATAAAGGCAACAATTGGTCACATAACAACTAAGTGATTACCTGCAAAGAAAGCATATGTGTACATGCTTATATAGGTATCAATAGTATCATACAATTTTCTACAATACATAACAAAAAAGTAAAATACATGCTTTGATGTAGCTATATATAACATTCAATGTGTGCCTGTGTGTGTGCATGCACATGTGTGCATGTATATGGTTTATATATAAATTGGTCACGTAACAACTAAGTGAAAGAAGTTAGTCTCCAAGGATTACACACTGTATGATTCCATTTGTATGGAAACCTGGAAAAGGGAAAACTATAAGAACAGAGAACTGATTAGTGGTTGCAAGGAATTAAGAGCAGGGAGTACCTGGCTACAAAAGGAGAAACAGAGGCAGGACTTTTTATCCTGGAGAAATGGGAGCCACTGCAGGATGATATACAGTGGAGTGAGCATTCACTGTCTCTGGTGGAAATAGACAGGTGGGAACAAGTCTGGAGAGGGAAAAATAGAAGTGTTAGCAGTCATTCAGATGAAATATGAAGATGTCCTCACTAGAGCAGCAGAGATGGTGATAGGAAAATGTGGACAGATTTGTGAAGTACATAGGATTACCAACCTACAGGATTGCTTGCTGACTGAAATGGAAATAAGCAAGAGGGAGAGGGGAGGGGTCACAGTGACCCTCAGGGCAATGGCTGTGTCTTTTGGATGGAACACGAAGGCGGTGCATTTCACACAGAAAACACAGGAAGACCATTCCTGGGCTACAGAGAAGAGGCGCATCAGTGCTATCTCTTACCTGATTTTTGTATGTCTCACAATAAAAGAGCAAGTACTAATTTAGTTCTAGTGGTTGGGGAGAAATGTCCTAAAATCAGAAAGCAGAAAATCTAAATTTCCAAACACAAAACACAAAACCAACAAACAAACCACGACACACAAAAACAAAAGTAACACAAACCTAAGTCTGTGGACGTATTTTCTCTCTGTGTCATTTCATACTTCATTTTACTCAAGGCATTGATCAGCTCTTGGCGATTTCTTTCAGTTTTATTTTTTAAACGTAGAATTTTCTCCTTAAATTCCAAAATATGGTTTCTACAATTAATTAATTGATTACCTGCAAAGAAAGCATATGTGTACATGCTCATATATGTATCAGTACTATCATACAATTTTCTGTAATACATAACAAAAAAGTAAAATATATGCTTTGATGTAGCTATATATAACACTCTCTGTGTGCCTGTGTGTGTGTGTGTGTGCATGCACATATGTGTATGTATATAGTTTATATATAAATATGTACATATGATACACATAAAAGGTTGGAGAAAGAGTAAGACATTAAAATAGTACTATCTGGAAGGTGGAATTATTATAAATAGTTTCTGCTTTATAACTCTGTGCTATTTAATATTTTCCAAATTTTTCATTTTGTGCACATATTAGATTTGTAATTAAAGGAAAAAACCAATTGAGGCAAAATACTGGCTTTTAAGAATTTATCTGAAGAAAACGACCAGAAATATATACACAGATTTGGCTCAAAGGATGTTTAATATAGGCAGCATTACTTATTATTGTAAGAAAATAAGAAACAACCTTAATGCCGAACAATGGAAATATGTTAAATAAATTACAGAATATCCTTTTTTTTTTAAGTTTATTTCGAGAAAGAGAGACAGAGAATGAGACAGAGAGAGAGAGAGAGAGAACGAGTGAGGGAGGGGCAGAGAGAGAGAGTGGGAGAGAGAATGAATCCCAAGCAGGTTCCACACTGTTGGTGCAGAGCTTGACATGGGCTTAATGTCACAAATCATGAGATCATGACCCGAGCCAAAATCAAGAGTTCAATACTTAACCTACTGAGCCACCCCGGCGCCCCCAGAATATCCTTTTAAAAGTTATATTGGCTCTGGTATTAAATCATATATAACTGAATCCTAGTTTTGCCACTTAACACCCAAGTGACCTTGGACAAGCTATTTAATGCTTGTTAGCCTATGTTCCTTCATATGCAAATGGATAAAAATCCCTGCCCCACGCCTGGGTAGCAAAGTTGGTTAAGCATCCAATTTCTTGATTTCAGCACAGGTCATGATCTCACAGTTTATGGGATTGAGCCCTGAGTTGGGCTCTGTGCTGACAGTGCAGGGGCTGCTTGGGATTCTCTCTCTCTCTCTCCCTCTGTCTCTCTTCTCCTCCCCCATTCACACATACGTTCTCTCTCAAAATAAATAAATAAACTTAAAAAAAAAATTCTTGCCCCAGAGTTGGGAAGAAGAAATGCAATAACGCATGTAAACCATGTGGGAAAGCACATGAAAAAAATGCTTTGATAAATGTGCGAGAAATATTACTTATCAATGGGCTACTTTTTATTCATTTATCAATGCAATACTATGCAGCTATGAAAATCATCTTATATAAGAACATTATATTTAATGTTGCACAACTGATTTTTGTTATTTTATTTTCTTTAATGTTTATTTATTTATTTTGAAAGAGTGAGAGAGCATGAACAGAGGACGGCAGAGAGAGGGAGACAGAGAATCCCAAGCAGGCTCCTTGCTGTCAGTGCAGAGCCTGATGTGGGACTTGAATTCACGAACCGTGAGATCATGACCTGAGCTGAAATCAAGAGTCAGACGCTTTACTGACGGAACCACCCAGGTGCCCCAAAACAACTGTTTTTTAAAAACAAAACTGTACATAAAATCATTTCCTTTTTTCTTTTTTTTTTTTAAATTTTTTTTTCAACGTTTATTTATTTTTGGGACAGAGAGAGACAGAGCATGAACGGGGGAGGGGCAGAGAGAGAGGGAGACACAGAATCGGAAACAGGCTCCAGGCTCTGAGCCATCAGCCCAGAGCCCGACGCGGGGCTCGAACTCACGGACCGTGAGATCTTGACCTGGCTGAAGTCGGACGCTTAACCAACTGCGCCACCCAGGCGCCCCCATTTCCTTTTTTCAAAAAAAATATACAGATAGTAAAAAAGAAAAAGCATACAAGTTTACATGCTGTTAATATATAATCTTTAGTTTGTTGAATCACTTTTTGTTTCCTATTTTTATAAAATTCTTTTGTTCTATCATGCTGCATTGCTTCTATAATCAGAAAAAAAAGTTAACAAATAAAATAATTAAACACCTTTATGTGCCACCTACTGTGTGTCAAGGGACATACAGCAATAAAAAAAGATATGGTAGTTCTTGCCTTCAGGAAGTTTATAGGCTAATTGGTACAACTAAATTAATTGATAATTTAAATCATTGTGAGATTTCGGATGTTACAAATTTCCTTCTCCTTATTAGGGTTTCAACTTATTGGGTACACATAGATAACACCAGCCCCAAACACTGGCTGTCAGTTTTATTTGGGGCTGCCTGACAATGGGTACATTGCAGTGTGTGCTGGGATGTCCTATTTCCCTATCCAAGTTAACTTACCCCCACCCCATTATCAAAAGAGCTGCTGGACAACAGTGGGGCCACACCCACAAAGGGGGTGACTTGTCACATGTGCTCACTACTTCGGGGGAAAAAGCAGGGAGAACTGGCCCTTCTTTCATAGAGTACATAAGAGATGTTATAAGAGAAAGAGTCCAGAGATGGCCTGAGTTGCCTTTTTAAGGAAGCCATTCTGCCCCCCTGTCAGTGTGGTCTATAGAAGTCGAGTCTGACCAATTTCCCCATTCAGATGAATCTCTCTGTCTTCTGAGAGAGGTAATGAGCTTCTGAGAGAAGGCCCAAATGGTCACTTTAAAATG